TCTTTGACTAAGTTCAATAAATGATTGATTGGGGAAAAGGCCATCTGGTGATTTTTATATTGCAGAGCTACTGGTTGGTTCTCAGGTACAAATCACCATGTCTGTTTAACTGTTTTAAAACTTACTTGTCCAGGTGGTTTTCCTCATAAAAAAAAATCCTAATTCATAGGTAACGTGGGGATACTGAGCTTGAAATGATAGTTGTGGAAATGCAGGAAGGAAGGAATCCTTTTCTGGAATAATTTTTGATTTAATTAGGTAGGTTTGCAAATATGAGGAATTTAGGTGCAGTTGATGCCTGAAGATGTTTAGACTTGGATCTAAATGAAAAGCACGCTTGAACGCCGCCGTTTTCTCCAGGATCTGCATAGCAGGCGGAAGAATTTCATATGGTGTGGTTGTTCTCTGATATTTAGATAACCACCACTGTTCCCAAGCAACTGGAATTCATTGCCCTGAATATTTTTCTTTGAGAACCTGAAGACAGATTTTCAAGCTGGGCTGGTTCAATCTTGCCCCTTTTTCTACCATGCAGGCAAAAAAAAATAAGTAAATCCAGTCACATGTTCCTGTGGCATGCTCGTGGGTTGTTGTCTGCACTCCTCTGGTTGACTGGAAAATACTTGTAACCATTTCTCCAGTGGGAGGAAGAACTTGGCTCAAGTGCCAGACTTTATCTCACAGTGAGGGGAAGGATTGCGAGTTCATCAGGCGCTGAGACGAGCTCCCTCGCCAGTGCGAGGAGCAAGTGGCATTTCTCTGACTCATCTCAATTGAGATGTGTCAAATCCTCTTGAAATTAAAGTTTTGCCCTTTCAATATTTATCTTCTTTCTAATAGGATGTTTTAGGCATCAGTCTGAATTGGATACCCGAGCTCTTGACCTGAGCAGTATCTGTGACAGTTCTTGCAGTGGTTTTTCTTGTAAACCTTGGCCTTTCCCGGGCTACATCTGATCCTTCTATTACCAGGAGATGATTAGTAGTGTCATTTAATCCATTTGTTAAGCTATTTATATGCTGGTTGTTCTGGTGAGTGGCTGTCCTCTCACCTTTGGGAGTTAATGAATGCAATTTATGGCACGGCTCGAGCCTGCTGCAAAAGGCACAGAAAGAAGCTTCTGTCTTAGGGACTTGATTTTATGTTCCTGACCTTCAGGGTTGCTTTTGACCATCAATTTAGGGCTGATGGAGGATGCAGTTCCCATGTTATAATCTTAGTGTTCGCTGCTTTACGTCAAGACAAGCTTGTGTTTCAAATTTATGAATGAAGCTGAAATGTTTTCCCCACCCTAAATAGCACCTTAAATTAATGAATGATGCGAAAGGGATGAAGTGTCCAAACCACTTGTTTTCTCCTCTGGAAGGAAGTTCAACGCTGAGAATATGTTTAGGCTTTAATGAAAGTGACTCCTGCTTTGGTCTTTATTTTAATAGCAATGTGTTTGGCCCAATGGTAACTTCTGCCTTTTTCCCTGTCACGTACAGAGTTTCTTGAAGACAACCTGAGGGCTTTTTTGGGGGCCAAGAGGATCTTCCTCAAGTAAGATAAGAGGGTAGATAACAAATGCTTCTACTCTTTTCTCCCACTCAGGCATCTGTGGCTCGTGTGCCATGAACATCGCTGGTGGAAACACGCTGGCCTGTATCAAAAGAATTGATCCTGATCTCAACAAGATCACTAAAATCTACCCTCTCCCCCACATGTATGTGGTGAAGGACCTTGTTCCAGTGAGTATCTCCCTCTGTCAACTTGTGACCAAGGGTGACATCGTTCCTGGGCAGCGTGGGGTTCAGATTGGGTTGGAAGGGATAACGTTGGGAGGTGCCAACAAGATCAGGTCTGTGTAGTTCAGGTGTTCCTCCTGCTGGTGTTTTTTGGCTTGGGTGGGTCTGAGCTTCACAGCAGTGACTAAATCTGTCCTCATTTGGAGGAATGTGGCAGGTTGAGGTAGAAAATTCCTTCTTTTGTTGGAGTGGTAGCAGATGTTCAATCTCTCATGCATCAATTTAGCTTAATAAGTGTAACCTCTTTGCCTTTTAACTCCTAGGACTTGAGTAACTTCTACGCACAGTACAAATCCATCGAGCCTTACCTGAAGAAGAAGGATGAGTCGAAACAGGGCAAGGAGCAATACTTGCAGTCCATAGAAGACCGTCAGAAACTGGTTACTGCTTCTTTTCTACTGTTGAAATCCCTTCCAGATAAGACTAGGGTTAAAAGTTAACAGGCAGTAGCTTCCTAGTTCCTTTAATGACAAAGCTGTCTGGTGCAAAACCTGATGTGGGTGGAATCTGCTCCCTGAAATGCAGTGTCATGGCATGCCTGCATGGCTAGGGGTAACGTATGCTAATGAAATGCAGTCGCGGTTGCGATGGGGACTCTGATCTCATTTCCACTGTCTGCACTGCGAAACCCCACGTGTGTGTTTGTAAAAACATTGTGAAGGCTACAGGCTTGTAATATTCCAATGGAGATAAGGTACAGCAGTTTATTCTGGCATGTGGGCTGTCAGGCTCAGCACTGTCTGTCTCATCCAGCTGCAGCATGCTAAGCAACGCTCTCTTGTTGCTGCTTGCTGGGTTTTACAGCCCAAAAAAACTACTGGTGAAAGCTAAACCCTTTTGGATGTGGTATCATAGACTGGTTTGGGTTGGAAGGGACCTTAAAGCTCATCCAGTCCCAACCCCCCTGCCAGCAGCAGGGACACCTTCCACTAGACCAGGTTGCTCAAGGCCTCAT